TTATATTATTCTTTTCTCCAATTTGGTTACAATAGGGCCCACCAATGCCATCATACTTCATATTAATATCTTTCTATATAAATATTTTACCAACCCTTTTTTTTTCCAATTATTGGCCATGTTTATGTTTCTCCTTTTATTAACTTTTTAGTTAAATTAACTAAAGGGATATTTTTCAAAACTATTTAGGTAATTAAGTAAATTTAATTTTTTAAAAAGAAATAGATAAAAAATTTTGAATTTTATTAAGGTTCAAAAAAATTATAACTAGAAAAAAAAATTCATAATGCTTACTAATATTCTTTAACTGTAAATTTTGAGTGATATAAGGTGAACTCATAATTTGTGACTCTATTTATGTGCATAAATGAGTTAAGTAAGTACATAGGTGAAGCATTTGTCTATATTTATATTTAAATTAAAAATTAATAAATATAAAATTTTAATACTCACTATTTATTTAAGTATTAAAAGTCTATTTTTATTATTCAACTTATTAAGTATATATATACTTACAGTTATACTCATATATTTATTAAATATTATAACATTTTAATACAAATTAAAATATAATTAAACATATTGCAAAACATATATTTTACTTCATATATAATATGCTAACATAAATTTCTTTAAATGCACTAGTTTAATGTGAGAAGTGTGTCTTTAAAATAATCCTTAAAAAATCTACTTTTCTTTCTTAAATTATATAAAAAAAATATATTGTTTTAAGACAAATTCAAAAAATATTTGTATTCTAAAATAAATAAATAAAAATTGGCATATATAAAATAAAGCACTACATCATTAATTAGCACCTTTTACCACCTTTTCTATTTGTATTCTAACTTAATTACGTATTATATTATAAATATAAAGTCATATATTTTTTTCTGTATACATATTATTTTTTTTATATTTATAGTTAACATATTTTCAAACCAACTCTCTTACATCTCAATACTAATCTCTATTTGGGTTATTTTAAAGGCACACCTCTCACATCAAATTAGTGCATTCAAGGAAGTTTATATTTATATATTATGTATAAACTAAAGTATATGTTTTGCAATAGATTTAATTATACTTTAATTTGTATTAACATGTTAAAATATTCAATAAATATATAAGTATATATGTAAGTATACTTATATTCAATGCGGTGAATAATAAGAATAAACTTTTAATACCTAAATAAATATTGAGTATTAAAATTTTATATCTATTAATTTTTAAATTAAATACAAATATAGACAAATATTTAGCTTATGTACTTGCTTAGCCCACTTATTTACATGAATAAAATTATAAATTGTGAACTTACTTTAGACCACCTAAAGTTTACAATTAAAGGAATAATAATAGGCATTTAGAAATTTTCTTTTTATAGATATAATTTTTTTAAATCTTAACAAAATTCAAAAAATTTGATCTATTTCTTTTAAAAAAATTAAATTTACTTAATTACTTATCATAATTTTAAAAAATATCTCTTTCATTGACTCAACTAAAAAGTCAATAAAAAGAGATAAATAAATGTGGCTAATAATTGAAAAAAAAATTGGTAAAATATTTATGTAGAAAGATATTAATATGGAGTATGATGTGGCATTGGTGGGTCCTGTTATAGCCAAATTGAAGAAAAGGATAATACAGAAATATATGTTAAACGCCAAACCGTTAGGCTTTAACGGTAAAAAGTGACGGTGTGAGCCACGGAATGGACGGAGGGACGAAATTGGTGACTTTTTGAATAAAAGAGGGAGGACATTTGAGCTCAAAATGAAGTAGAGGGACGATCTGAGGTGATTCCATAGTAGAAGGGTTAAATTGAACTTTTTCAAAAAGTAAAGGGATGATAAATGGCTTTAACCCTAAAAAAATTAATTTCATAAGCTAAACTATTCAATGTTTTTTGTGAACTTCCTTAAATTCATTTTTCGAGAAAGTGACAACCAAACAGCCCCATAGACTCTGCATCCGAGATTCGTAATCCAATATCCACATCACTCTTCGTAAGGTGCATCCTTAATCGTAAAATTACTTTGTAAGAATAACGATTCAAAGAATTACTTTATAAAAATAATTGTTTAAATAATTTAATAATTATTTTTTTAAATAAAAAATTTTTAATTTATATCACATAATATATAAATAGATTTAAAAACTAATTATCTTTGATCATGTAATCAAAATAAAAAAATTATATTTTTGTTAAAAAAAAAAAGAAGAGGAAAATTAGCCCCATGGAGTGTATATCGGAGTTTTCATCAATACCAGTAATGTTGTGGAAGAAGCACAGACTTGTCACCTTAACGCTTCACTTCACTACAGTGCTCACCGATCATGGGGTTCCGCCACGTGACGCCGGTGACACTGGCTGCGAGGGTGACGGCAACTTAAATGTCATTAGGTACGAGACAACTGGATGGTCCTGATGCAAGTGCCTACGATTTGCTGCTGGAAAATCCCGATGATCCCTCTCCCCTTGGTCAGTTGCTTTGTTTGCACGCAAACTTCTCAGCTATCTCCGCGGCGGCTTCAACTTTCTCTTTTCAGCTCGGCGGCTGAAATTTCGTTACAGTAGTAGGTAGTAACACGATTGATGGTTAATTAACCACACTAGATTTGGCTTAAACTTTGAGTTAATCCCATAAGCCGTGTAAGCCTTCCTAATAGTTTTACTTTTTATTTTTATTTGTATTTCAGTTTAGTTTTGACTAAGAGTCAGACATTCTTTCTTGATGGAGAATTGTTTCTTGGATCTAAAAGATATTTTAGATATTATATTCTCCCAAAATGGGTAACAAAAGATTATGTACTTAATCATTTGTTTAAGGCTATAGAAGACATATGACTGTTGTTGACATTTGTTGTCTCAACCAACCTAAAATGTGAATACATCTTTACTATTACTGATAGACATGAATAAATTTAGATACAATATATTTCTTTTAGATAAAATAGTATTTAAATTTAAAATTTTTAAAAAATATCTTTTATTTATTATTTTTTAAATTAGTTTCGAAGATAAAATGACATCTTTATTATTAATAAATGGTAAGGAAGAAGAAAATAAAGAGAAATAACAATATAATTTTATAATAATAATCTAGCTTAAAAAACAATCTATTGTTAAATCTTTCTCTTTTCAATCAAGAAGACATTAATTAAACTAATTTCATATATGTGTGGTTTAATACTGAAGAATAGTTATTATTTTAATTTAAGGAAATGAATTAATTAAGATGAAGTGAGGGCAACTGAGAGAGGGCTTGAGCCAAAACTCAAAAATCCCAATTCACAGAGAAAGGGGGTGTTCACTGCTCTCCCCCATTTGAGAGCTTGAGGTCACACTCAAGCGGACACAGATAGCTATACCACCCTCTTCAAGACTTTCTACATCCAAACGCACCTTCTTTTATCATCTTCTTCTTCCTTGTAGCTGGTATCTGCATCTTTCATTCATTGAATCCCTCTCTTCTTAGAGAAAGAATTGGGTTTCTCCCAGAAGGGTTTGTAGCCCCAAAGATACAAGAAAGTTTAGTCCTTTTTGGATCTCTTTTTTGGCTTTCTTGTTCTCTACTTTTGTAGTTCTTACTTTTTGTAAAAGGATGCACATATCTGATCTTCCTTAAGTTTCCACAAATCCTTAAGTCTGGGTCTAACAAAAATATACTACGACCTTTTTTTGTCCTCTTTTCACTTTTTATTTTAGCCCTTGTGGCTGCTTCACAGCTCTAGAGGCCAGCACCGACCCTCAATCCCAGCCAAGAACCCAAACAGATCTTTGTTAAAACCACCAGTTTTCCGTAACCAGATGATATTTCAGTACTGTTCTGCAAAAGAAGCTTAGTTTACAAAATTGAGATTTGGAGTTTTTGAGTCAAACGGAGATGCAGGACCCATCGACGTATAATCAGATGAAATCACAATTTCCGGGGCACGAGCAGCTGAAATGCCCACGCTGTGACTCCACTAACACAAAGTTCTGCTACTACAACAACTACAACCTCTTGCAGCCCCGCTATTTCTGCAAGAACTGCCGCCGCTACTGGACTAAAGGCGGGGCTCTCAGGAACATCCCCGTTGGCGGAGGTAGCCGCAAGAACAACACCAAGCGCTCCAACAATCCCAAACGCCAGGCCAACTCCGCTCCCGATTCAGAACCCGCCCGGATCCGGAAACAGCCGGATTCTTCCACTTTGTCGACACCGACACCAGCTTCCACTTCCACAACAGTGACTCTCCATGGGGTTCAGAACTTGCCGTTGGACTCTGACCCGTCCAGGATGTACGGATTGTCGGCCGATCAGGATACGAAGATGCTGGATATCCCCGGAAGCTTCAGCTCGCTTCTCTCCTCCAATGGGCATCTTCTTGAAGGGTTGAACCCAGATGGGTCGGGTTTGAAAACGGTGCAAATGGGTGATTTCAGACGTAACGCGGATGAAGTGCGTGATCTGAATCCGGGTTCTGTTCAAGACCCGGGGTTGGAGGGAAGCAATAATGGCGATAGTTATTTGGGCGTACAGAATGAGGATTCAAGTTGCTGGGGTGGCGGAAGCAATGGGTGGCCTGATCTTGCTATTTACACTCCAGGTTCAAGTTTTCAGTAGAAACAAAAAGCAGGGACGAGTGTTAATATTTATATATTTTTTAAAAAATTTTAAATTTAATTGCTTTTATTGTGGTAATTTGAAGATTATTAGAGACTAAAGTTGGTGGAGAAAAAAATTTATAATTTTGTAGCATTTTATGATGATTCTGGAGAAGAGGACAATTTTATGCTACATGGTTAACTTATATGTGTATATATGTAGTTACCAATTTATCCCTTATGGTTTGTTTTTTGGTTTTCGTTCTTTTTTACTTCCATATTTGTTATTTGGTGTTTGTTTTGACTCGTTTCATGAATTTAAGTGGAAGAATAATTACTTGAGAAAAGGGATTGTTTTTAATGGCTGGGAATTGGGATGGCATTTATTTTTCCAAATTTTTTGTCATTTGTCTTAATGTTTAATTAATGTTAATTAAGTAGAAGTGATACTCAAATTTTATTTTGTTAACTATGATAATGCTGCAAAAGGTTTGATTGAGCTGTTTTTTCTTTTATAGTGGTTTTGTTTTTACTACATGATGAATTTGATGGGATGAGAGAAGATATGGGGGATCTCCATAAGGTAGTTATGGCCGTACCTTAAAGTTTTAAGATCACATAAAGATTAGTGTAAATATCTTTTTTGTTAACAACTCCTTATGGAATTAACTTTTTGAGTTTAATGAATCACTTTTTAAGTTTATTTAGATTTAATTGATTAAGATTTCAACTTTTATTAATTATTTGAAAAATATTCCCTTTCCCAATAATTTTTCATGTTAAAAAAAAAAAAAGCAGCTCCTTATGGTATTTGAAAACAATTGTACTGATTTTAATTTATATTTAATAAATATTAATAATTTTGTCATTTATTAACTATTTATTAAAATTTCTATTCATTTTTAAATTTAAATTAAATAAATTTAATATTTTAAAAAATAATATACAAAAATTTATGTCTTAATAGTTTATTATGCTGTCATAACCGTGCGAGTTCCAAACTCTGGTGTTCAACCAAGTCCAAGACCTGGATCTAGCATTGTTGGCTTAATTTCTTTAATTCTCGTCTTTGATGAGGAAGACAAAATTGAGTTCCCCCTTCCACTAGGTTATTGTTTCCCATTCAATCGTATCGACAACTGGTCACTATTGGTTTTATGGTTTTTAGCTCCAGCTGTTGACCACATTTCCCTCGGTAGTGACTGGGGATGGTCCAACATTTGTGTATAGAAATAGATTATGACTTTAACTCAACCATGTGTAAATCTTGGAAGAGACATGGGTCACCCATGGAAGCATGCATGGGGATCCAAAATTAAACTGATATGGGTTTATTATGTGCTTTTAAACTCCAGGTTTGTTTTGATAGCTGAGTGGCTAGTGAGGAGTAGTTGATGATGTTTTTGGTTGTGCATAGCGTTTTCTATGACGTTCCGTGAGTTTTGATTGGGTTGTTCTAACTATTTAACTCTGTATTTGATGTTTGTATTGGGATATAAATATATAATACTCCTTATACTCTTGGTTAATGAATTTTTCTTTAGTTGATCAAAAAGAAAAATGGGTTTTCCTTTAATTACTCTAAATATCAGCATTTGGTAAGGCCTATGTAGTGATAAGTGTTGAGTCATTGTTGCATGGCAGGGAACTTCAATTCACAATTTGCAAACTTTTCTAGGAGGTGGGTACTGAGTGTGACAATGGGATCGCTATAATCAGAGCAGAAATGAGGTCTCAATCTCTATTGATGTCGTCATTTTGAGCCCAAATTAGTTGAATTTTTCTGAATCACCATGGAAATGTGTTTTCGGCGGAATGATGGGCCAGTCTCTATTTATGTTCTTAATTGGACCATTGAAGATTGGACCACTCTCTCCCCTATTCAACCACTCTCATGTATGATGGGATAGAATCAGGCCCACACTTGGCCGTACTTCAGGACCCACCTGAACAATCAAGGGCTGAAAAATGAGCTTCCCTGAGAATGCAGAACAGGCCGGGTGATGACTGGCGTTGTTCTTAACTGTTGAGCTTACAATTTTTTACTTGCAGGAAGAAAGTGTGAGGTAAGACCTGCCATCTGATTCAGAGTTTTTTTGACTTTGGTTTCTGTTTTGTTTGCCCACCCAACTTGAAGAGAAAAAAAAAGTCATGACCTTGCGTCCGCATCACTTGTAGACCTTCAGCAACGCCTATTTACCATCATTTTCATGCTCAGTGCTTAGCATCAAACAAAATACATATCCCATCATAATACATCTCTTTTCTCATGGTTAAATTAAATTATTCGTGGTAGAGTAGTTACTATTTCAACTTTGTTTTTGCTTCGATCTAAGCGAAATGTTAATACTTATCAACTTCAGTTTTTTTTTTTTTATCTCATTAACAAAATTTTTAGTAAATTTATATTTACTAATTAATATAACAAATCT